AAGAAAGAAAGAAAGAAAGAAAGAAAGAAAGAAAGAAAGAAAGAAAGAAAGAAAGAAAGAATCCAGACAAACCAATCTGAGCGATATTCCCAAATTGCAGAGGAATCACTTTATTCTCTCCAGATACAGTGATCCCAGCGACGGCATTGTACGTTTGTCTCTTACGTGTGGCTGGTTGGTTGGCCTGCCTCTCTCTGTCTCTGTCTCTGTCTCTGTCTCTCTCTCTCTGTCTCTCCCCCCCCCCCTTCTTCCTTCTTTTCCTCCCCAAGCGAAACAGAGCGAGACTCTTAGGTAGTTGTTTCCACCAGCTCCGATTGGGCTGAACTGGATCTGCCTCCAGTCAAAACACTGAGATTAAGACAGAAAATTGGCTCCGGTTTCAAGCCGTGAGTTGCAATCCCACAGGAGCCAAGCACAACATCAGTGGAGCAAGCAGAATATTAAACAGGAGCAGGGATTCCGGGGCCAGAGCCAGGCTGTAAGCCATCCATCCAATCTCATTGCAAGAGAGGGAAAGGGAGAGGGAAAGGGTGAGAAACAGAATTTCTGAGGAGAGGCAACCCACATTACAATGTGCTTTCTACAGTAATTCATCTACTCCTTGGCGCACAAGCCAGATGTTTCCTCAGCTCTATTCTCTACTCTTCAAGAAACAAGAATAATTCTGTTTTCCTTTCTGAATATTCTCAAGACAACTGATGACTGCCAAAAGGCAAGTTTTCTCCAGAGTAAGAATGCAGGGGTGCTGGTAATAAATAGAGAATGAAAAGGCAGGATTATGTTAAGAATTATAATCTGTCTGGGCAAAATTAATAAGGAAAGATAAAAGCAGATTCATAGAATAAGTGAGTTGACAGGGATTGTATAGATCATCCAGTCCAATCTCCTGCTGAGCTTGGGAGTCCACTAAACCATGATCTTAGTCCTGTTTTTAGTTTCAACAAAAAACAGATCTGCCCCCTCTTGAATAAGAGAGCCTTTCGGATATCTGTAGACCACTACCATATCTCTTCTTAGTGATTCCTTTGGCAAGTTAAATATGCCCGGATCTTTTAACCATTCCTCATAAAGCTTGGCTTCTAGATCTCTTTTCATCCTGATAACTTTTCTTTGAACCTGCTCTAGCTTGTCTACATCCCTGTTAAGGTGTGATTCCAAGAACTGGACATAGTACTCCTAAATACAGTCTAACCAGCTTAAATACAAAAGAAGTATTTCTGTTGTCTAGACACAATGCTTCTGTTAATGCAGCCCAAAACTGCATTGGTCCTTTAGCTGTTGCATCTTCTTTGGTCATGTTATGGTCAGAGAACCAGTTTGGTGTAGTGGTTAAAGGCACCAGGCTAGAAACTGAGGGACAGTGAGTTCTAGTCCCACCTTAGGCACAAACCAGCTGGGTGGCCTTGGGCCAGTCACTCTCTCTCAGCCTTAGGAAGCAGGCAATGACAACCCACTTCCAAAATCTTGCCAAGCAAACTGCCAGGAGTCAGTATTGACTTGAAGGCACACACACAATGGTCAATTAGTTCTCTTAGATCCTTTCCATGCACACTGCCTCCAAGCCAGGTTTCCTCAATCCTATTCCTGTGCATTTATTTTTTCTTACCTAAACATAAGTCACAGTTGAATATCATTTGTGTTATTGTTGGATTTAGCCCAGTGCTCAAGCCTACTGAGCTCATTTTTTAATTGGGATTTTGTAGTAGCCAGTCTCTTTAGCTTGGTGTCATCTGCATCTTCCCTCCCTTTCCTCTTACGTTATTTATAAAGTTGTTAAATATCATTTAGATGATTATGGAATCCCAAGTAACCCCATTTGATAATTATAACTACTCAAAGGGCAGTAAAGAACTATTTACTAGCACCCTTTGAGTGTGGTGGTTCAACAAATTGCAAATCCACTGGACCAAATTTCTTTTATTCCACATTTATCCATTTTATCCACAAGGATATCATAACAGAACTTGTCAAATGCTGTACTGAGATCAAGGTACACTATATCTACAGCATTCACTTAGTCTATTAAACTAGTCACTCTGCCATAAGAAAACATAATACTAATCTGATATGACTTGATCTTGACAAACCCGTGCTGGCCCCTAGTGATATAGCACTCTTTCCCAAGAACTCACAGACATGTTGCTTCACAATCTATTCTAGGACAGCCATTAAACAAATAGCTCTGATATTTCCCCAAACCTCCCCTTTTTAAATATTGGAACTATGTTTGCTCTTATAGAAATCAATTCTGTCAGTTCCTTCAACATACTGCAACATAATTCGTCTGGCTCTGGAAACTTCAATTCATTTAAGATAGCAAGGTGGGTTCTTTGTAGACTTTTATCAACCTGGAGCTGCATCTCTCCCTTTCCTCAAGCATGTTAGAAGCGCTCTCACTCTCTTCTCAGAAAGCAACCATTGTTCTTATGAGACTAAGAATGACTATTACAAATGAGGAACATTCCAGATTTCCTCTGGATTGTATTTAAATGTCTGAAAAACAACTTGTCATTTCAGTCAAGAATCAAAGGGGGCTGCACTTAGTCTTGCGCATAGGAGGACTAGGGCCAGAATCACTGGCTAACGTGTGACTATTTCTCTTAATTGCCAAACATGAATGGTTAAGATTTGGCAATATTTCTATTGGGTTAAAGATGAAATATGTGTTCCAGTTTTAGCTCAATGCTCCTTTGCATATTCTATATGTTGAAGGAGCTAGTAGAATGGATTTCAGAACCACATATGTGCATTTTTTTAAAATAGCCATGGTTTCTGCTACTTTTACATTTCCCACATAGAATGTATATATACATGGGTATGCGAGCTTGTGTGTGTATGGATGTACACTACACACACACACACACATATAACTCCATCTCTACCAGATCCCAATTTCCTGCCAGTTAGGAGACTCCTCAGTAGTATCAATCCAGAATAATTCAGTCACAGTTAAATCCCTTTGAAATGAATGGGGGTTAAATTACTCGCTGCTATTTTTTTTTTCAAAAGACTTTAGTATCACCAACTTTCCCTGGATCAGGAACTTCATTGTTTAGATGATTATTTGTATTGCATAAATTAACCTATAAATAAATATCCTAAAGAATATTGGTATCTCAATATTATTGCCAGTGTTCAGTTTAATTCATGTTAAGAATATGCAAAAGTATATAGTTCTACTATCATGTCTGATCAGAATTAAGCTCTATAAAGAGCAGCAGAATCTACAGATGTCATTAGATTCCAGATCCCATTAGTCCCTGCCAAATTTACCAGTGGTCTTGAGAGATAAGTGATAAGGATTTAAACCTAATGACACCTAGAAAACCACAATTTCTCAACTCTTAGTATATAAGACTACAGCTTCAGTTACCCACCAACTCTTTCCTTCCTGAAACAAAATTGAGTGAGACTCTTAGGTAGTTCATGACCAGAATCTTGAGTACTTCCATTTTAGAAGAGAAAATTAGGCTATAGATGTGTTAAGATACATACACTAATTGGGGAACAGAAAAATCTAGACAGATTATGCAGAAAATTGTTTTCATATAAAGAACAGATCATCCTTCTAGGATTGGGTCTAATCATTAACTTCTGCATTTCAGTGTATGATTTACAGCTAAAATACTGACAGTCCATTTTTCTGAAGTATTTGCTCACGCCTATAATTTATGAGGAAGTAGGAGATCATATAAAGATGTTTAAGCAGATGTTTAATGTCTGTTCTAAAAATTTTTACATAGATGAATCTCACAATGAATTTCTAAAGGAATTATGAGGTTCAGGAGCTATATATGTTACTTCTACTGCTCCAGTGCTTCTGACTTCATAACTCTTCTAAATAAATACTTGAAAATATACAAAGGTCAGCTTTTGCATTTATCATTGCTGCAGATTTTCAGAATGTTTCTATTCTTGCTTTTGGAATGTTTTCCATACTCTTTTTTGCAGAACTCTTCTAGTTCAGAAATATTCTTAGATCTCTTTGGATGTACATACTGCATGTTTAAGATTTCCCTACAGATTTTCAATAATATTCACGTCTAGGCCATTCCAAATCTAAATCTTTATTTTCTGTAATCAAAAAACTTTACAGTTGATTTGGAGTTATGTTTTGGATTTTTGTCTTGCTGACATATCCAACAACTTTTCAGTTTCAATTTCTTCATTAACTGTGGGACCTTAGTTTCTAGAATATGTTGAAATTTAGTTGAATTCAGTCTTCCTTCCACCTTTACAATATTTCCTATGCCACAGCTACCATACCACACCAAACCATACTAAAGTCATCCCATGCTTAATGGTTAGCAAGGAGGTTTTTAATTCAAATGCCTCAGCCTTTTGTCTCCAAATGTATCTTATATGGTTGTAGCTAAACAGTTCAGAGTTCTTTGGTTGAAACCATTTCAAGCTTATCAAGTTTTTCTTTTGTATATTTTAGACGACTTTTGTGATGAGGTCAAAGAAAAGATTTACTTCTAACAAC